TCATTTACGTTTGTCCATTTCAAATTGTTTCCCAAACTCCATCGCCATCCTTGTTTTGTTCGTAACATGAATACCTTTCAGGAGAAACGTTACTGATACTGGTGCGGTACCTGTAGTATAAGTTTATGAAGGTTATCTAAACTGTCACGTAATCGTGATCATGTCCAGTTTTGTTGACCAGTTTAAAGGGGCTATGTAATCAAGCAACGTTTTTTCTATTCAGCTGGAAATGAAAATATATGTGTCCAGACAAATCTGTACATAATAGTTTTCTCCTACGAAGCCAATGTCCACTGTAGTCAGTTTAAAATCTGGGGAAGCCCCGCCAAAAAAAAGCGATAATCCAAATATAGCGCGAAACGCTGCGCCCTCTGGCGGGAAGAAGACTGTTTGTAAACAAATGCACGCGATATGAAGGCATCAAGTGACGAAACGGTGAGTCTGATTTCACGTTAACTCCTTTCGTAAGGAAATCATGAACAAAATTGCATGGTAAACCTTTGTGAAACATATAAAAGTTACTAAAACTCACGGTGAATTGTCATTTGATGGTTTAAATATGCTGATGACTTATCAGTTACCAACAGTCTAGGAGAGTCTTCACAACTTCTTCATTACTTTGGAAAAAGTTTTCTTTCGTGAAGTTGTCCCACCTCTCTCTTAGGTACTGCTCTCCTATTGTTATTCGAGGGTGAGCTTTCTGCCACTGGCCTTTTCTACGTTTTGTGTGCGATGACGTGACCCGTTTGCCACGAACACGCTTCGACTGGGAAGCCATTTTTGTTTTGTTTTTTCAGACGCGTTTGCGCATGCTCACAGGTCAAAGTGTGCATAGGCGGCTTGCTCATTTGCATTTTATCGTGTCTGTACAGACGATTAGGATTTCCCATATAATTATTTAAAAACCCGATTGAAAACACACGCTTGTATCAATATGTCGGCGAGGACAGTTCATAAGGATTATAGAACTACATTTTTACGGATGAATTTGTAACTAGAAAAAAAATAAACAAACTTGACTTAATAGCCCCTTTAAAATTAAAAATATTGTTAAATAGAATAGCAACACCACGACTGTTTGACGTGTAAGAATTAAAGCAAGCTTCATGTCCCCTTTCACTTTTCCACTACCAATCTTTTTCTTTCTTTGGATGCGTGTCAGTTAAAAATAATATGTCATACCTGCATTTTCATATCTCAAAAATGACTTTTCATTTTATAGGATCAGAAAATAAGCACCTACAATTTACCAGAGTTTTAATCCACCACCCGTTTGTTTTATACAAAAATGTTCTTGTAGAGATTAGAGAATAAACTGTACATCTCAATACAAAGTGTACCATAAAACACAGCAGCCTTCACTTAAATTCACCCCACAGAAAATGGGACATTTTTGTATTTGTAATGTACCCTAACTTTTCCCCAGGAGTAGAAACAGTTTTTATTAATACACAGGGACAGATAAATTCCTGTCTCATAACGGTACGCATTCCGGAACAAAAATGCTGCAAGTCACGCTCCGGTTTAAATTTAGAATATTAAAATTTCAACTAACACAGCCATAATTGTAATTATACACTTGTACCCTATAGTATTGTTTATATAATGTAACGGGAGGAGGGCAATACGTCTCACCAAATGTAATTAGATTTAAATAAGGCAAATAAAAACGTATTCCCATTGGTTCCGGATACTGCCTTACTCTTCTGCGAAATGTTATGGAAATTTAAGACAAAACAAGACAATAAACATCACTTGAAGCTTTCACCTCTGTTACTACTGTACATTTACCATAAGGATATACTCCGTTCTGGTCATTTTAATTCTACAAACACTAACAAACACAGTATATTGCTATAATTTTATGAGTTAATCTGACAAGACTTAAAGAAGAAATAGAATACTTGCTTATCTTAATAACATATTTTCCCATCCACGTGGTTCCCATATCATAACCATAAGATTTCATTTTGAGATCGGGTTGTACTGATATCTGTCAACACCAATAAAATAACACGAGTACAAACAAGGCTGTCAGCATTTTGATGGTAGAAATATTGAATATGGTATATTCTAAAATAGTTAATAATCGGGTATTTCAGCTGTTTAGGTGAACATTAATTCGGTTTAAATTTATTTCATTATTAATACTACACATTACACCTCACGGATAACCCCGTCATATACTAAAGTTCTACCTGTACTAGTCATCGTCTATATATAATCGAAAACATTTACAACATGTGCATTAAACAATAACGAGATTCGCGACCTCTTTTACAATATATGTTTATGTATTAAGAAATTAGTGGTCGTTTCCGGTCACGTGGTAAGCTTCCTTGACGAGTGGGTGCCCGCGTGAAATGCTTTCTTCTACGACCGTTTCTCATAATCCCAGCCACTGAAATTAGAACAAATGTCCAAAATTTAAAAGTAAGTCTATGTCATTTTATTGAATTGATTAAATTCGTTTGTTGCTTTCTAAGGTCGTTCTTTGAACAAGACGAACGGAAGTACACGTCAACATATATAACTTCCTTTTATTTGTCTTTTAAATGATCTCCGGTTTTACTTCCGGCGTCTGTAAAGGAACCGGATTAAAGATGTCCACATCATTTCTTTTAATGTTTCGACAAAATTTTCCTTTAATTTCAATTTGTTACTTTCATGTTGAAATTAAAGTTCCATATATACGTTTGATAAAAAGTACATAATAGAAATGTTACAAAAGTTACTATAAACCTTTCTTCTGTAAGATTTTTTTTCCAGCGGTGGCATTCTTTTAAAGAAATGTGTTTTTTTACCTTTGCCACAAAACAAAAATCTGTATAATTGATAATTTATCCAAGTGAACAGTGTGTTTACTTATATGTGATGAAATATACAGTCTGGAGAAAGACAAATATCTCAATTCGTTGTATTAATTGTGCTATAACGTCCACTGCATTCTTTCTCTTAAACAAGAACTCGTAAATATGGAAACAGAGAGTCGCATTCCCGCGCTACGTTCCCATGCTGTTCAAAGAGGTATGGCGTTTTACCGTGACGGAGGTCCTGTTTAATTCATTGTCATGGCCAATCTAAAATATACGGGTAATGACAACAGGTAAACGTGCATTTGGAGTCACGGTGTCTAAATATAGAACATGTACGTCCAGGTAGCAACTTTGACAATATGTAAAAAATAACACGTGACACATATCCAGGATATATTTCTGATACTTTGTATATGTGTGTAGCTCTTTAAGATTACCTATCCGAATTCATCGAAATAGGAAATTGATTTTTGCTAGTCTGTCAAATTGTCTATAAATACAGAAATACAATTTCGTCTTTGTCTACCAAGTCCGATAAGGTGCAGCTATTGTAATGAAGATGTGTATGTGGGGGTTTCTGTATGGCTGTTCTGGTCAGATATTCGCTTCAGTCGGAATGAATTACATCAAACACAGAAGATGTTACTCTTGGTGGATGGTCTTAGCCAGTGACGTTTCCTAGTAATTCTATAGCATCATGTGTTCTAATTTGTTTTGAAGGATTTTAACACGACATGAGCCATTTTTCAGAAATTCAATCAAAGTGGTGCAATGTACTCTGAGCTATTCTACAGGATCCTTAATATATTCAAGCGCTAGAAAGACTGAGAACAAATCACGTGGAGACAAAATCGGATATGGCACTTAAATGTTGACCAGAAATCGTTGCTCTCAGACAGTGTGGGCTGACTAGTTAAATAATCCACACCTATCTCCCGCAGACAGGAATGTTTGTCATCTGTCTTTCTTCCTAAACCAACAACAAATGTCTATACATCGAAAACGACATCGGCCGTCAAACTTGTAATCAAGAAAAACAAAAACCAGGGCTCTCAGACGTTTGATGTGACAAAAAGATTGAATAGCTATCATCAGTAAACATAGACAATCAATCACCAATGACAGCTTTTTACTAATTCGATTTCACAATGAATGCTTACAATGTCCCATCCTTACATCTTTACATATTGTATTGATGAGAATTAGTTTGATGTTTTTGATTCTTATTAATATTATTACATAACAGTCTGCCTTCTGAAGTTCAATTTCTTCTTTAAGCGTTCAGGATCTGGGAGGCAGTGTTCAGTCGATTTGATAAGGCATTTTGAATAAATATAAAAATATAGAATAAAAAAATGCAATGTACTCCTTATCTTTAATCAGGTATTAAGGCTTTTGTTTTTAATTAGCACAATTCTTCGTTAAAGCCAATGACGATAGTTATCACGATTAAATCAATTCTGGGGGTTCCTTTGAAATTGACAAGTAACATTGTCGAGGTTTTTTTAGTATACTGTTATGACAACAGTTGGTGGGGTGGGTTGCGGACAATGAAATCAACATGGACGTCTGGAAACTCGGAAGTCTTCCTGCTGGTGGTTATTGTGATCATTAAATTAACTTTAACAGTCTATCTGACCATAACTTATCTAGTCATTTCTTCCAATTATCACGATTCGTCAGCTTAGAACCTGACATTACTTACTTTGATTGACCAAGGTTTACATGGCAAATATCGTCGTTGAAGCAGAAGACACTTACCCTTCCGGAACACCTGGTCTTATTCTCTTTGGACCATTTCCCAGGAGTCTCCATGTAAATCTTTCTTTTGTTCATATTTTGTACCTGAATTTGAGTTTGGATAAGAATTATGTTGGCACGTTGGTAGGTATTTTTTAAGATATCTGACCTCTTCTTCATTCTAATAAATACCATCTAACATTGTATTGCAAATTATTGCATGATTATCAAATTTTCTGGTCCTGGAATTAAACGACAGAGCAAACTTTCATCGATTCCCAACAGTGATCTGATAAAGGCCTACTACATGCAGTTTTTAACGAGCCGCGTGCAAGCACACATACGGGTATTTTATGAGCAAAGCGGGATAACTCTAACAACTAGGTCGTCCCAGATGTTTACAGCGGAAACGAAAACCACATTGTGACCACAGGCTGCTGACGATACACGGTGCCGTATGTATAATCACGTTTCAGTAGTGATGTTTGGAGATGAAAATATCAACTATGAGTGAGTTGACAATACTAGGTTGCAAGTGTCAGTAGTTGATACCCACAATATACACGAAGCAAGTTACTGCGGGGCGTCGCTGACCTATATCTAGGTTTATCGCGACACGAAAGTCCAGGGTCCCAATTTTTGACAGATAATGAGTCGACATCAAGCATATGATCTAGGTTGACAGTAATACTGAAAAAGTGAATTCACGTAAGTATGGTAATGTTCATGTCTAACATGATGCACAAATGAGTGTTTCCTACATGGGATCTGTAGCAGTATCCTTTGCTTTATAAGGAAGTGTAACGTATCCTCTCCTATTTCCAACCTGAGCATCCTCGTCCCCAGGCCAGGGGAAGATCGTATCGCTGTTGATGTAGCATCTATAGTTCTGTTTTTACCTTTAGCAGCTAGTATGCTGTTTTCACCTGTTGCATCTATAATGCTGTTTTCACCTGTAGCAGCTAATGTGATGTTTTCACCTGTAAAAGTTACCGTGCTATTTTCACCTGAAGCAGCTATAGTGTTGTTTAACCTGTAGCATCTATAATGATATTTTCACCTGTAACAGCTATTGTGATGTTTTTCACCTGAAGCATCTATAATGCTGTTTTCACCTGTAGCATCTATAATGCTGTTTTTACCTTCATCAGCTATTGTGATGTTTTCACCTGTAGCAGCTATTGTGATGCTTTCACCTGTAGCAGCTGTTGTGGTGTTTTAACCTGTAACAGTTATAGTGTTGTTTCACCTCAGTCCAAGATGAAGAAAAAAAGCAAAACAAAAATCCCATTAATTCGTAATTGCTTGATAACTCCAGCGTTCGGTAGATGTTAATATTACTTAATGAGTATAGTCTCTGTTTTTATAGTCTGTTGATGTTGTGTTGTGTTCTGAATAGTCGAAAATAAAGACTGGAAACGAGCATGAATGAGTACAGATGAATGCATCTCTGATCTGTAGTCGGACTCTGATCGGAGCGTTCCTCTGAAAAAGGACAGATATGTTGATATATACAAAGTAGATTTGTTTGAACACTCGAAACAAACATGTTACGTAAAATACGTGAATATTGATATTACATATTTTGTCTTTTTTATGTTTTAGAGCAGTAGACGATATTTGAAAAAAATAACTTATCAATTTGTTGTGAACCACTGCACATGAAGTCTATTTTTAAAAAGGGAAATATTATCCACAGTAACACGTGTCTTTCAATTCCTTGGGTATAACATGTATACCCCCGTATATTTTTTCTTGACTGCACTAAATCGTCATTGACATTACATTTCTTCAACAGCCAGGACTGCGGAGTGACGTCGCCATGACACAATACGTGATTAACGAACTCGATACGTTTCACGGGGACTTGTCTTTCAACGGAGTTCCATATGAGGCGTTCGAACGTACCGGTAAATATTCAATGTTGTCTCCTTACAAGTAAATCATTAAAACGTGTCTTCATTCAGGTAAATACTTTAATGATGTCATCATACAGGTAAGTATATAAATAGCGTCTTTATACAGGTGAGTATTTTAATGGCGTCTTCATAGAGGTACATACTTTCATGGTGTCTTCATACAGGTATGTCCATTAACGTGACCAAACACAGGCAAGTATTTAAATGGTTTCAAAACAGTTAGTGCAACATTTTATAATGTTCACAAGAAATTTGTATTTAAATGAACCAGTTCTGTTGTTTCATGGTAAATTATCATGGAAGAGTATCTACATTTAGGTCTTTCGATTGTGACCAGTTTCGCCTCTGTTCATCAACCGATCTCAGGAAAATAAAATGAATAGTTAGCGATGATAAAATGCTTAAAAACTCACCAATTACACGTTATTTTACTTATGTAGACCATACAATATACTGGGCACCTTGATCCATTGACAACAACTTTTTTTTAATATTGTAAAGTGTTCGCTTTTCTTTTTCTCAACAATTTTACTTTAATTACACTTCCTCAATAAAATGGTAAACTCATTCTTACAGTTCACTATTCGCTTGACCATTGCCAAAGGTGTTCAATACAATACTCTTCTTTTGGAAGTATTACAAAGGTTCACTTCCGTAGCCTTGTCATTATCACAGGTCACTGGTCACTATGGGGAGTCACGAAGATGTTTGAAGCAGCCCGTCTGATTGGTTTATACAACGACCTATTCCACTTCCGGTCAATGGAAGGAAAGACCATTGGTTTAGTAGTCGTCACACAATCCCTCCGACTAAGTCCCGATCTACACCGAGACTACTCACTTTTCACCACCCTAAAACAGCGGTATGTTCTGGACATCGTGGAGGTTGGCCGGAGCTCGTTTTCCTTTGTAACCCGACTAACCAATGAAGAAACTGGACAGTTCCTTGGGGAACTACTGCTCAAGTACGTCTTATTTGACAGGAGAACCCGGAAGTCAATTAAACTTCCGGCAGAATTTTTTGAGCAATATTCCAGATACCCAAAAAAGGAAATAAAAGTGCACAAACTGTCCATTCCAGCATGTCCAGACATGGGTAAAAATGTTTTCCAGTTGAAAGTATTGCCCCTCCATAGTGACACGGACCGGAACAACCATGTGAACCAATCAGTTTACTTCCGGTATTGTATTGACTGCGCAACGGATGCAGCGCTTACTGGAAATTATCGCCATTTCACGTCAGATATGTGCTGGTATCCAGTTGTAGAAATGAATGTTTATCACGCCAATGAAAGTCTCGTCAACAAAGAGTTAGTCGTCAACACGTGGCAAGATGATGACGACTTCCGGTTAATCTTTTTTATCATTAAGCGAAAGGACACCGTTCTCTTTAAGGCTTCTATACAGTTTTATCCTGAAATGTCTAAACGGAGAAGAAATTCTCGCATGTGAACGTGTACAAGAAACATAATCAGTCAGCATGTCTTAATATCCAAGGTTTTATTAGTGTAGCTGAAAAGGTTTGTTAGATAAGGCAGTAAAGCACTGGACTGCTTTCTAATGATATTCATAGGCCTATGAATGACAAGAGAATTAGGGTCAATTCAGTGATGCGCCTTAGCGCTTCATGTTGAATTTACTGATTTAAAGTTAACATTTTGCAAGTTTATTATATCATCAGAGGGAATTACAACCTTACCTACACTAATGGCAGTTTCCTTAATATTTCATTGATTGTACGGTGCATGTGACGTATGATAATTTCTTTGATAATTATGTCGCTATCTAATTCTCAAAATATCTCTCCAATACACAGATAAAGTAGTATTTATTCCGAGTTTATCACTTATCAGGGTTGTTCTGTTTAAAAAATAAGACTTAAGATAATTCGTGATGGTTAGTTTAAAAACAGATTTCATTCAGGATTCAACATTGACAAGGATTAGGTAACAAGCCTCAATCTTATGTAAAACCATCTCCTAATTAGTTACTGACATACATATATAAGTAGTCTAATCTTGTTAGACAGAAAAGAGAATAATACTGTCAACAATAACGCTTCTGTCCGAGCACTGACCCTGTGTTTATCAGGATATTAATGTACAACTGTAATCAATGAAATATAAAAATATCACTCAATCAGGATTATTTTAATGTAATTACATACTTAATAAAACAGTTCAAGTTAAAATGAGTACCTTGTAATTATACAGGTAAGTATATAGCAATTACATTGGTATGTACAGGTAACATATATATATATATATATATATATATATCTAACGTGTAGATTCTACTTTCTCTCCCTCCCTCCCCAACATGTAGATTCTACTTTCTCCCTCTCCCTTCCCAACATAAACATTCTACCCACCCCTTCCTCTCCAACATGTAGATTCTACTCTCTTCCCTTCCCTCCCCAACATGTAGATTCTACTTTCTCTCCCTCCCTCCCCAACATTTACATTCTACTTTCTCCCTCTCCCTTCCCAACATAAACATTCTACCCACCCCTTCCTCTCCAACATGTAGATTCTACTTTCTCTCCCTCCCTCCCTCCCCAACATGTACATTCTACTTTCTCTCCCTCCCTCTCCAACATGTAGATTCTACTTTCTCTCCCTCCCTCCCCAACATTTACATTCTACTTTCTCCCCCTCCCTCCCCAACATGTACATTCTACTCTCTTCCCTTCCCTCCCCAACATGTAGATTCTACTTTCTCCCCTCCCTCTCCAACATGTAGATTCTACTTCTCTCCCTCTCCCTCTCCCAACATAAACATTCTACCTCACCCCTTCCTCTCCCAACATGTAGATTCTACTTCTTCCCTTCCCTCCCCAACATCTCTCCCTCCCTCCCTCCCCAACATGTACATTCTACTTTCTCTCCCTCCCTCTCCAACATGTAGATTCTACTTTCTCTCCCTCCCTCCCCAACATTTACATTCTACTTTCTCCCCCTCCCTCCCCAACATGTACATTCTACTCTCTTCCCTTCCCTCCCCAACATGTAGATTCTACTTTCTCCCCTCCCTCTCCAACATGTAGATTCTACTTTCTCCCTCTCCCTTCCCAACATAAACATTCTACCCACCCCTTCCTCTCCAACATGTAGATTCTACTCTCTTCCCTTCCCTCCCCAACATGTAGATTCTACTTTCTCTCCCTCCCTCCCCAACATGTACATTCTACTTTCTCTCCCTCCCTCTCCAACATGTAGATTCTACTTTCTCTCCCTCCCTCCCCAACATGTAGATTCTACTTTCTCCCCCTCCCTCCCCAACATGTAGATTCTACTCTCTTCCCTTCCCTTCCCAACATGTAGATTCTACTTTCTCTTCCTCCCTCCCCAACATGTACATTCTACTTTCTCTCCCTCCCTCTCCAACACGTAGATTCTACTCTCTCCCCCTCCCTCTCCAACATGTAGATTCTACTTTCTCTCCCTCCCTCCCCAACATGTAGATTCTACTTTCTCCCTCTCCCTCCCCAACATAAACATTCTACCCACCCCTTCCTCTCCAACATGTAGATTCTACTCTCTCCCCCTCCCTCCCCAACATGTAGATTCTACTTTCTCACCCTCCCTCCCCAACATGTAGATTCTACTTTCTCTCCCCCCCCCCTCCCCAACATGTAGATTCTACTCTCTCCCCCTCCCTCCCCAACATGTAGATTCTACTCTCTCCCCCTCCCTCCCCAACATGTAGATTCTACTCTCTCCCCCTCCCTCCCCAGCATATAGATTCTACTATCTCCCTCTCCCTCCCCAACATGTAGAATCTACTCTCTCCCCCTCCCTCTCCAACATGTAGATTCTGCACTCTCCCCCTCCCTCTCCAACATGTAGATTCTACTTTCTCCCTCTCCCTCCCCAACATGTAGATTCCACTTTCTCCCCCTCCCTCCCCAACATAAACATTCTACCCACCCCTTCCACTCCAACATGTAGATTTTACTTTCTCCCCCTCCCTCCCCAACATGTATATTCTACTTTCTCTCTCTCCCTCCCCAACATGTACATTCTACTCCCCCCTCCCACCCTTCCTCTCCAACATGAAGATTCTACTGTCTCCCCCTCCCTCCCCAACATGTAGATTCTACTTTCTCCCCCTCCCTCCCCAACATGTAGATTCTACTCTCTCCCCCTCCCTCCCCAACATGTAGATTCTACTTTCTCTCCTTCCCTCCCCAACATGAAGATTCTACTTTCTCTCCCTCCCTCCCCAACATGTAGATTCTACTTTCTCCCCCTCCCTCTCCAACATGTAGATTCTACCTTCCCCCCTCCCTCTCCAACATGTAGATTGTACTCTCTCCACCTCCCTCCCCAACATGTAGATTCTACTCTTTCCCCCTCCCTCCCCAACATGTAGATTCTTCTCTCTCCCCCTCCCTCCCCAACATGTAGATTCTACTCTCTCCCCTCCCTCTCCAACATGTAGATTCTACTTTCTCCCCCTCCCTCCCCAACATGTAGATTCTACTCTCTCCTCCTCCCTCCCCAACATGTAGATTCTACCTTCCCCCCTCCCTCTCCAACATGTAGATTGTACTCTCTCCACCTCCCTCCCCAACATGTAGATTCTACTCTTTCCCCCTCCCTCCCCAACATGTAGATTCTTCTCTCTCCCCCTCCCTCCCCAACATGTAGATTCTACTCTCTCCCCTCCCTCTCCAACATGTAGATTCTACTCTCTCCTCCTCCCTCCCCAACATGTAGATTCTACTTTCTCCCCTCCCTCTCCAACATGTAGATTCTACTTTCTCCCTCTCCCTCCCCAACATGTAGATTGTACTCTCTCCCCCTCCCTCTTCAACATGTAGAATCTATTTTACAACGGGCAATGATGAATTTGAATCGATCGGGTCTTACTTAATGCTACAAATATTTCTCAATTAAGACAAAGATAATATAGCACTGGGCACATGGCTAACTCGTCAAACAGCAGTGATGTAAAACATAACCTGGAGACACCTTTCCACCAAGTATTATGCTTCTCCGACTTTTGGTACACCATATGAAAACTTTTACAGGTTTCACAGAATTTTTATCCATCTGACCTTCAATATGGGTCTAGGTAATTTTTTGCAAATGTCTGTCATCATCCGAGAAAGCTATTTCCCAAATTCTTTTCTTCTTCACCTTAGTCAAAACAAGTTAAATGATTTTAACTAGTTCGATTACAGTGATCATGAATAAGGATAAAGGTTACTTTTCGCAAACTTTGTCAACCTTCATCCTAGGAACCTATTGGATAAATACCATGCTTTATTGCCTTTTTGGTTAGTCAGAAGGTGTCATTTTAAGGTTTTAACAAATTTGACCTTTTTGACCTTAAATATTAGTTGAGATCATTTCTTTGGCAAATTTGTTGGACATCATCCTAGGAACCTGAAAGCAAAAAAGAGAAAAAGTTGTTTAAAGGTTTTAACAAACTTGACCCCTGTGACATTGAATACATATAGACATAATTCAATTTGGAGAAAAAACACCATTCTTAAGTACAGAAGGCCTTGACCAGAAAACCCATATCAAGCAGCCATAACTGTGTGAAGTTGAGTCAGAACAACATCGCACTGCAGATCAAAGGCAAGAATTTGTTTGAACATTGTTCTTGAATAATTGATTACACGGGAAAACATTTATTAGACAAAACTGGGATATATCTACCATTAAAGGGAGTATCTGAATTTATTGATTTATTGACCAGCCAGGGTCATATTAAGGCAGGGTATCCTTGTAGTAGCTTTATCGAATAAAATACAAGACACATTGCATGCCATCCTAGAACTGCAAGGGTCGCTCTGCCAGCTTTTTGAAAAACACACAGAGCCCCACTCCCCACCTCAGGGGGGCCGGAGACCCAATGTATATACAAAATTGATTTCCCTGGTCTTCAACCAAGTTTCAAATTAATTTCAAGTTTCCTTCATTATTTCATGAGTAAGGTTTTAAGTAAACTTACCGAATTCCCCCTATAAGGCCCTAGGTGAGGGGTTAGGCTCACCATATATGAACAAAAATTCAATATTCCTCCAAGGATGCTTCTGACCAAAATAGATTAGTCGCTTCTCAGAAAAAAGTTGACAGATGGACACCAGACAATGTGCCAAGCAAAGTTTAAAGTTCAAAATATGTGAAATGAAATAACAATGCAATTTGTGAGCAATAAAGCTACAAAGAGTCTTCTTAGTCAGGAAGCCATATATCTAATATCTAAGAGAAATAGCTCCCCATTGCAAGAACTCTAATCTTCTACTGGTTGTGTTATAAGATGAAGGTGACCGTGTAGTCATCGAAACGTCACATGCTAATCTTCTACTGGTTGTGTTATAAGATGAAGGTGACCGTGTAGTCATCGTCACACTCTAATCTTCTACTGGTTGTGTTATAAGATGAAGGTGACCGTATAGTCATTGTCACACTCTAATCTTCTACTGGTTGTGTTATAAGATGAAGGTGACCGTGTAGTCATCGAAACGTTACACTCTAATCTTCTACTTGTTGTGTTATAAGATGAAGGTGACCGTGTAGTCATTGTCACACTCTAATCTTCTACTGGTTGTGTTATAAGATGAAGGTGACCGTGTAGTCATCGTCACACTCTAATCTTCTACTGGTTGTGTTATAAGATGAAGGTGACCGTGTAGTCATTGTCACACTCTAATCTTCTACTGGTTGTGTTATAAGATGAAGGTGACATCACACTCTAATCTTCTACTGGTTGTGTTATAAGATGAAGGTGACCGTGTAGTCATCGTCATACTCTAATCTTCTACTGGTTGTGTTATAAGATGAAGGTGACCCGTGTAGTCATCGTCACACTCTAATCTTCTACTGGTTGTGTTATAAGATGAAGGTGACCATGTAGTCATCAAAACGTCACACTCTAATCTTCTACTGGCTGTGTTATAAGATGAAGGTGACCCGTGTAGTCATCGTCACACTCTAATCTTCTACTGGTTGTGTTATAAGATGAAGGTGACCCGTGTAGTCATCGTCACACTCTAATCTTCTACTTGTTGTGTTATAAGATGAAGGTGACCGTGTAGTCATCGTCATACTCTAATCTTCTACTGGTTGCGTTATAAGATGAAGGTGACGTCACACTCTAATCTTCTACTGGTTGTGTTATAAGATGAAGG